ACCTCCCCATCCCACGGATAGGGAAGGGGAGGAAGGTGACTAAGTGGCTTGGTTGCCAGCTGGGGCTACACCACACACACACAAAGTCATTAGATGTGATCATCTGCTATAAAGCAAATGGTGGAACACAGACATATTTTGTTCATCAGCCTAAAATTTTAAGAACTTTTAACTAATCCAGTAGCAACTTCTGCTGATGTTATGCCTCTCAGGGACTTAGAGGGTAAAATGTCAAGGGAAGGGGGAAATTTGAGACTAAAAGGACAGGGAGTTTCCATGTGGCATTTGTCTGAAAATTTATTTCTCCTTTGAAAGGTTCTATGGGCTAGGGGGAAAGAAAAGTGCCTTTTTACAGAGAGGAATGTTTTTAGGGTAACTGTATAAGGTAGCAGTAGGGCTAAAGCAGAGAAGTTCCTGGTGACTTATGTATGCTGCACAGCCTCATCTATGAGACAGGCACCGCCAGCCTGTGCCCTGGCATTTTGTGTTTTCACAGCAGAGTCAAAGGACAGTGAGAGAGACACCAGGAGCAGGAGATGAGTCCATGAGTCATCTTGGTGCTCCTCATTGTGGAAAAGCCTCTTTCCAAATTTGTTTCCTCATTTGCTCTGTCCAGGATAGGTGGGCAGTCACCTGCTTAGGTTAAGCTTTGGAAAGGTGGCTGGAATGATAATGCCAATGGAAGAAAAAAATGTGGAGCTTGTGAAAATTTCCTTTTTCTTCCAGCTTTTTTCCAGTAGGAAGTCTTCTCACCTGCTGGTTTCCATATTGCAACATTTCAGAGGGGGTTTCCACAGATAGAAGATATGAAAATGAGAGGAAGAATTGCTACCAAAAGTGGACTTATTAAAAAATGTGACTGAAGAGTGTTTAAAAATTTTTGTCTTTGAGTGAACTGTGGTGGTGTGTTAATGTAAGATGCATCACTGGATTTGATAGTTCTGCCAAGCAGTGTAAGGAAATAAAGCAGCATGTATTTTATGCTATATTTTGATATAATAAAAGGTTCTTCCTTTTCATAGTGTTTTTTAGAATTTTGAGACAGTTGCTCAATAGATTTATTTCCATGGAGTTTTAGAGCATACAAGGTGTTTTATGCAGCAGTACTGTATCTCAGAAAGCACAGGTCAGCCTTTCCAAATATTTGTGAGAAGTCATGAATGAAAGAATCATCATGCAAGTCAATGTCTTCTAGTCTATCTCCTGCAGCCTTCTTTCCTCTGACACATTTGTTGTCTCCGTCCTTGCCTGCCAGGACATAAAAGCAGACAGCTGTTGCTAGCACTCCCCTCTTGCTAGGACTAAGGCACTGAGAATCCCTGTCACATCTTTCCTTGTCAGAAAGAAAATTACTTCATCTGGAGCCCAGATTTCCCCTCTTCTGCTGAGTGCAAGTCTGCTTGTGCATTTCTACATGTACCTTGGCGCTCCTGTGTGGTTTTCCATAAATGATTGTATACATCTCCTTGAAGCAGGAGAGCTCCTGCAGGCAGGGATGCCATCTCAGTCCCAAGAGAGTCAGAACAGAAGAGAGCAACTCTGTCATCATGTACAAGATCAACATCCTCTTCCTGAGTGATGACTCTTGTCCTCTGATTGTCAATCTTATCAGAAAATTGTTGGCTGATGAGCAAGATGTTTCTGCACAATTTACATGACATCCTTTGTGTGACAACACATGGTCTTGACTTACCATGAATTTAATATGTGGGTCCTCACTGACAGCTGAAAACAGTGTTGCAAAGAAGGCATGAAGAAATTGTAGAGGTTTTTTTTGGCTAGTCTTTTGTAGCTTTGATTTTTTTAAAGTTACTTTTTTCATGATTTCTAATGTTTTAGTTTTGTCTGGTATTTATTCTCTGTGCAACAATCATTGCAACAAATGCTGTCCCCTGTAAATTTTCTGCAATGTTTTCACCCATGTGCTTACGGATAAAGCACTTTTCAGTCTCTTTCATAATTTCACCCACCTGTAGTTCTGCTGTGTATGCCAGATAGCTGCTCTGTGGCTAACAGTGGCACTCAACGCCCCTGACTAGAATGTATGTGATAAAAGGCAAAGACTGTAGTGTGGCTTCATGTTTAGTGTTGACACAGAAAAAAAAAAAAAAAAAAAAAAAAAAGAGAGAGAGAGAGAGATAGTTCTGACAGTATCTGTTAGGGTTAAGAGTGTCATGGTTTGAGTGAAGAAGAAGAAAAAAAAAGGAATGGAAGTGTTCCTTTGTTTCCTCCTAATGCATCTACTCCTTCTGCTTGTTTGCAGAAGGGCACGTCAATCTGACAACAGCATCAATGTGACTTTTCTCTATAGCAGGCACAAGGAAGAGATGGATCAGAAGGAAGATATGAATTAAAACCAGATATGTCACTTGTGCATCACCCTCTGCACCTTTGAAAAGGATATGCTCAGGTAAGGTGGGAACAGGCCACCTGAAGCAGCAGGGCAGCTGCGGCAGCAGTGAGCACACACATTTGTATGGTGAGAGCCACCTGTAGCTTTCCATCAAACTAACTTAGGAAGTCAGGGATACAAGTGGGATTTTGGTTTTGGTCTCCTTGCCTGCTCTGTTCATGCAGAACTTCATGCAGAGAGCAAAACTCTCTGCATCAAAGATATTTGATATTCAAAGATATTTGATAGTCTTTGCTCCAGAACGTTTGAGGATTTTCCCAGTCTTCGTTGGATAAAAATGAATGGGGTGACTAAATGGTTTACAATTTTACACGATCTTTTGATGTGAAAGCAATTATTAATGTCTATAATTATCTCCAGAATTACTTGGGTCCTGCAAATGGCATTCAAATCAACATTTTTAACTGTTTTCCAGAGGGTGTCATTGTATAATTCATTGTAAGGAATAGTACCCTACAATCTCAGCTCAATATCATTGTCCTTTCAAAATTTATTTCTTAGCCCATCCTTCTGAAGACTGATAATTTTTTATTTTAACCAGTTTTTAAAGTGTTTTTAAAGCTCTCAGCTGGGGACTGGGTATTGAATAGAGCTTATCTCTATCGCTTTAATGTGAGTCTTAGATGTAAGAGCACTGAGATCAATGCTTAATCCATTATCCTCTGAATTAAGAGGACCATAGTGAGATCTACACCTCTGCTCTCCCATTGTCTGCCTACATATCCTACATACGGTGCCCATAGCCACTGTGGGGCAGAGTGGGAAAGAGAGAAAGCCTTGATGCTGTGCAAGTTCACTCCATCCCACCCAGAGTTGCTGCTGCCCCGTGGCACCCAGGCAGGGCAAGCAGAACAGTCCCAGTGCCAGCCAGCAGCCAGTGGCTACCAGACAGCTGTGATGGGCAACAGAGCCTCAGCATCACACCAGAAAGTCAACTCAGTGTGTCTGGGTTATTTCAGCAAGGTAAAAAATGTCAGGCAGCATGAAAGCAATGCTGTCATGACATGATTGGTTCACATGGCTGAGGACATGCATGTAATTTCCTTTTTTCTCCCCTAGACTTGCACACCATTATGGTAGACTGATCATCAGCAGACTCACAAGCAGGGTCAGACTATTCTGATCTTTACCAGGTAGGTCACCTTGGAAACACTGGTCAGTGAGAACAGGCAATGACACAGGACATTTCTTCAAGGAACAGATATTTTATTTAGCCCCAGGAGTACAGTAAGGGAAAAACAGTGTACTTGTTGCACCACTTCCAGCTTTGTCAGTTTTTTCTAAAGACTTTGGAAAAACCAACTTTAAAATCTGTCTCTTTGCACTTCATCTCTGTAATATTGAGCTCTGGCTCTAAAAAACATCATGGACTGATCAATCTACTCTTTGAATAGGAGTGGACATGGTAATTCTAGAGGAGGCCATCAGATCAGGATTTTCAGATTTTGAGTCTTGCTGCTGTATCCCTGACACCTCACATTTTTTAAAAGAGACAGAAAGGATCCTGAAACCATCAAGAGTTTTCAACCAAGTTTTTTAATGGAAATGTCAAGGCAAAATCATCTATTCAGGATTGACAGAGTAAGTGTAAGTCCTTTCATTAAAAGAAATGCCATCAATCTGAGGTATTAGCAGCATTACTTTATAAGTGTACTTTATTATCCTCCCAAATAAAGTTTTAATCCATTTGAATCTAGGGATCATAGCACTTTCTGTAGCAAAGATTGCCAGACAAAAATTATGGGAACTTAAAGGGCTGTGAGGGAGGAAGTGTAGCCTTGTGTGACTCCTAGGAGTCTGGGGTGGGAGAAATCTGGCCCCAAGCTGCTGGGATTCAGCAAATGACAATGGGGCCTTCAACAGAAGGGTTACAGACTTTATGCACTGAGCAGAGCAGGAAGAATGAATCATTAAAATAACTTTTAAATCATGAAGATAAAACAGAGATTCCCAAAACGGATGTGATTCCCAAAGAATATAATCTATCTAATGGAGAAAAGATATACTTCAAAACAAGTTTGTATACAAGCATATGCTGAACTGATTAAGCACTGTTCAGTAACTTTAGTCTAGTTTTGTTTTATTATATGCATAAATGGAAAAAATATGGCATCTGATAATAAATCAACAGAGAACTGAAAGTGACCAAACATCAAAGGTTTTTGAAGGCTCATAAAGTATTTCCTTGTCCTGGAGAGGGTCTGATCCTTCCCCTTGACTGAATTCCAGGTCCAGTTATGGAAGCGCAGCAACACTTTTGGCTACAATGGGGCTAAGAGATAACAACCACAGATCCAGTCCTGATGGGAGAGTGACATAAGGCAGAAGTTTTGAATCCTCTTCAGCTCTCATTCACTCTAAATATATAATTATCACAATTTAGAGCTCCTTGTGCCTTTGGAATGACACAAGTAAAGGTGAAGTTGTGATAATGATTAGTTTTCACATAATTTAATTTAATATATACTTTGTATAATTTATAAAAAGGGAGATTGGACCAGATGACCCACTGTGGTCTCTTCCAATCTGACCCATTCTGTGATCCTGTGAATACTTCTCATTTGAATAGAGCTTATGTCCTTGCTGTCTAAAATCACTAGTACAAGTATCCTGTAAAGGAATTTCTTTCTTCCATCTCTTCCCTTCAGTGTCACAATTGCCAGAAGAAGTTAGACCTTCAGAGAAGACAACTTATTGGCCACAGTGGGTTGTAGTTACTGAGACACTTTGAGGAAAAAAAATACAAAGGAATGGATACCTGTGCTGTAATTACTGGAGAAGAACATAAGAAAAATATTAATGAAGCTTCAGGGCATGACTCTTAGGTCAAGACTAGAGTAAGACTCAGGTGTGTCTGCTTTCTAGAGAGAAGATGAAAAAAGAGTAGCTTGTGAAAAAGGAATCTTAGTGGCCTGCAAAAGCCAAACAATGCTGTAGACCTATAGAGACATGCCATGAACTCACCAGTCTTCCTAGTTCTGGAAAATCACAACACAGTTTTGTTTCTCTAAACAGCCAGTATTGACATGCTGCAGCTGGACTTCCTGGTAGTTCATGGTTCAGTGGGCTATTCCTGCTATGAAGCACAACATATCCAGGCAGCACATCGTTGTTAAAGCTAAAAAAACCTCATTGTATAGGAGTAGTTTATGGTCTTTATCAAGGTTATAGTTTTGGATATAATATACTCTGAATACATGATGAGGCACGAAGCAGACTAACGTTACCATGATGAAGAAGAAGCTCTTTGCCTGAGCCCTGAATTCCACATGAGAGTTAATGTCAGGCCAGTATTTCACAGCTACTCTGTAGATCACAGTCAGCTGGATTCCAGTGAGCACGGCACACACCGCCACCAGAACCCCAACCAGGCAGTAGTTTGCGATCACCATGTGAGCCTCCTGCAGCTCCCTGTGGAACTGGAAGCACTCGGAGGAGCGGTATGTCTTCGAGGTGCCGTAGTAGGAGAGGAGAACGGGCGTGATGACCAGCGCTCCCAGCAGCCAGACAGCCCCCACCCAGGCTGCGGTGTAGCACTTCCGAAACTCCAGCCGGAGGAGGCGGGCGATGATGATGGCCACGTAAAAGGCGAAGGTGGCGTACATGTGCAGGTAGATGATGGCGCTCGTCAGCCTGCACGCAAACCTCCCGAATTTCCACACCCCCGAGATGTAGTAGCTGAGGCGGAAGGGGATGCTGAGGAGCATGAAGCTGTGCAGGACCAGGAGGCTGGTGATTGTAATGGTCATCACAGACTGGGATCTCCTTTGAAACAACAGCTGGGCCATCATGATGACCCCCAGGGTGCCACCAGCCAGGTTGATGATGTACAGGACGATCAGAACAGTGTGGAGCTTCTCTGAAGAGTCCAGCACTGTGTCGTTGGAGGAATGGCTCTCTTGGGTTATGCAGCAGTTAAGCATCCTCATAAGCTCCTCTTTTAAAGGTTACTGAAAAGGAAAAATGGGAGTGAAACATTTTCTTTGGTATTTCCTTCATTGTTAACTGGAATATCACAGATTCCTAAAGAGACACTACTGAATTGCATCTGAAATTATGTTATCCCATGTATTTTACAGCCTTACAACTGTTGTGATCCTGCATATGACAGCAATAGCCCATGCCTCTCAGGGTTGAAAATACATTTTGCATAATTATGAATGAGATTTTGATTGACTAAACTTCATTCTAGGATTTTTTTTCAATTATTTGCCTCTAGATACAGCCATTTGTAATAACGAAGACACTGTTTGTGCACATTTTATCTGCATTCATATTATAAAGCTAAAATTGAAGGTAAGAAAATACTGAAATATGAAGATGTACCTATTATGTGTGGATACTCTGTGATGACACCCAATCCATCTTTTTAGCATCTTGCTGGATGGGTACAAAATACACATAAGGTCGCAGTAGTTTTTTTCCAGATACTTGGAGAAAATTGAAAGTAAAAGTTTGCAGATGAAAATTCGATTATTTCTTGCTTCATCTGCAAGTATTTTTATTACAGAATTTCACCTGAACTGATCTACTATGAAAAGTGATGAAAAGGTATAAATTATTTAGGAATGTTCTTCTGAGAGGTATAATTCATTTGGCACTTGTTACATAGGCATATACAGCTGCATTCTTATTTAGACTTAACTCAAAATGCAGACTTGTATAAAGATTTCTGTACAAATATATGGGGACAGCTCACAGGGTAGATAGATGCTTTGCTAATGAAATTTATCCTTACCTTAGAAAGAGTTTTGAAAGAACAAAGTTAGAGCTGAAAAATTATCTCTTAAAAAAGCAGTGCCTTTTCTGTCTGATTTGAAGTTTGAAATCAGTAAACTTGTAAACACTTGAAAAATTGTAAACTTGAAATCAGTAAACTTGTTTTAGCAGTCAATTCTTAATTCTTTGTACTCATCTGTAAAGTGATAGACTGCATGCAACTGTAAAACATTTTCAGAGAAGCTTCTTATTTATGGAGCATCAGACAAAACATCTTCAGAAAGCCAAGGTCGGTATAAACCCTTCTGTTCACCTCCTTTTAAAATTCTTTCAAACATTCTTTAAAGCATTTAAATGTTTAAAATTTTTTACCTGCCTAATATTCCCAAGAAAAGCACGAGAAATTTCCCAGAAACTTTGCTACACGAAAAATTTTACCAACTAATTAATTTTCCGACGTATATTAATATTTCAAATTTGGAAAATGTACAACTTTTAGTTCTAGACAGCATAATTACAGCTTAATGGCAACATTTTATATCCCTTTGAAATAGATTATGATTTTTTTGCTATTTATGGCAATGAAATATTTGAATTTTACCTTACAATCTCTTCTTTTTGTGACTTCACCCTGAAATGTGTCATTTCATGCAGCTGTAGCATGTGGCATACATAAGCAGAGTGAAAAAAACAGCCCTTGACCTGTTTGGCCAAGAAGAACTAGGGTTTTCTCAGCCCACACACAGGAAGGAACAAGCCTTCCTTTTACTTCACTGTGATAGCAATCTCATATGTGCGAAGTCAAATGCTCTTTTCATCATGCAGAGAGAACCACAGAAAAGTTGCTGAGCTGCCAGAGACCATCATTGTGCTGGGACATGTAGAACACATCAGGTCAGGACTGCCTCTGACCACAGTTTGGTCAGTCTTAAAGTTCAGGTGGGCAAGGATTCCCTGAGCCCTACAGCTACCACAAGGTACCAGGTTTTGCTACTAAACAAGTGAGAAGTGCCACTGATCAAGGAAAGAAATGTGCACCTGAGCAAAGGATTTTTCCCTTATATGTCCACTTCCCCCCCGAATTTTATTATTGTTTAATAATTAATCTAAATGTTCCAGAATAATGGTGTTCAACAGAGTTAATGGGGGATTTCACCATGTTATTGGATCATCAAGAATTTAGAGATTTCTCACTGTTTAAATATTACACATAAAACAAACTGCAGACATATATGAAAAGCAACTTAAGAGGTGTTGGCTGCCACCAAAACTGCTGAAGATCAGAAAATGAACTTCTCCACTGATGTTTTCATACTTCTCAGTCTCTTTTTCTTTGAAACGTTCCTTAGAAGTTGTATGTTAATGCTGTTCAGTGTGCTAACCTTGTATCTTCATGTTCTTCTGTTAAATAAAATAAATTTAAAAATCACTCAAGTCAGCCCTGTAATCTAGGTTTAGTTTTTAGGTAAGCTTGTTATTTGTGTACAAGAGGAAATTGAATCAGCACATAGCTTGCCTTGACCAGTGGTGAGAATAAAGATTGAAAGAGAAATGCATCTATACACAGCAGAAATCTGGGTCAAGACTAGAATTACAAATAGAGTTTAAGGAAGGAAAAGACTCAGCATATCTGGTTTAACAGTGGGGTAAACAGAAGACAAAGAAGAAGAAGAGTGAAGGTTTTGGTTACCTTCTTAGAGAAGAAAAATGAAACAGAAGTAGCAGTTGAGAGAAGAGAAACAAGGCCTGTTGAACGTTCGGAGATGGGATGGACTCTGTGGAAGTGTCAGAACATGTGGAGCCACGCATGGGTGTAGCAGACTTCCTCTAAGCAGGGAGTAGGTCCATGGTAGAACTCTAACTTCTCCATTTCATGTCTGCATGATTTCCTCTGTTTCCCACGTCAGTCTAAAAAATATGGTCTTTTCTGGTCAAGCAACCAAGGTTTCATTTTTGATTTCAAGAGCTTCTTTCTGTCTTTGAACAGTCATAAAACTGTCCTGTCTTTTGTGACTGGATAGATTTTCTGTTTTAGATACTTCCAGGGTGATAACTGCTGATAATTTAAATGATTTAATAATATTAATCCTCTGTTGTTAGCTGCTTACAGGAACTGAGCTATGCATAGGCCATAAACAATGGTAAAATAGGGAATACCTGTGTTATGCTTTAATATACTGCTTTTTCTGGGACTACAGGTGAAATCACAGTTCTTGCTGTCTCATTCCTGCCTTGTCAGACATGAGTCACAGGTACTGGATTGTAAGAAAATCATACTCCATAGTTAGGGAACATGCAGGATAATCCCTTTGATTTGCCAATCTCACCCACCCATGCATCATGAATAATTTACTAACTTCAGCCAGTAAATGATCAACGAGTTTAGCAGAACTTTTCAGATTCTCAGACTACTTTTCTAATTAGTTGATTGCAGATTTACTGAGAGATTTCTCAGGCATTGTCAGGATATAAGAGGCTGCCTGGCTTCTCTGTTTATTAGAAATCATAATATATAGTTGCCTTAGTCATACCTATTTAGTATGCCTCAAAAATAGACATTATGCTTTATGTAAATAGAAGTAATATATAATGGATTTTTGTGAAGGAATTTGGCAGATTATATCACAGGCAGGTTATGACTTACCTTTTGAAACAAAGCTGTTATTTATTTGGTTTGGTGCAAAGAGAAGAGGTTTATTATTATAAATTCAGGAACTTGTCGTTATTCTCCTGTTTTGGTACATTCCAGTTTAGAAGGTAGAAGATTTATTAAATAATTTTGTCTCACTATTTGGTCTAATTGCCCTCCAGCACCTGTAGTGGCAAGTAAAGGTCTTGTTGCTTTCAGGGATCTTTAGATCCCTGAAACTAATTTTTGCTTGACACAGAGCTGGCTAAATCTTTAATAAACTAAAAAGCAATTAGAAAGGAAGCACATAAACCAATTAACTCATGCAGGAAAGCAAGATAGCAGTTTTCAGCAAGTTACAGGAAGCATGGAGGGTGCCCAAAACACAAAGGTGGTGCTTTCAAGGTGGGGTGAAGAGGTTGGTCTGGTGAGAACCCGCCTGGAATACTGTGTCCACTCTCTGGGGCCCCAACATAAGAAGGATGTGAAGATGATTGAGCAGGTCCAGAGGAGGCCACAAAATGATCAGAGGGGTGGAACACCTCTCCTATGAAAACTGGCTGAGAGAGTTGGGGCTGTTCATCCCAGAGAAGAGAATTCTCAGGGAACACCTTAGAGCACTTTCCAGTACATAAAGGGGACGTACACGAAAGATGGAGAGGGGCTTTTCACAAGGGCAGGTAGGGGTAGGATAAGGATAATGATAATGGCTCTGAGGCGAAAGAGGAGAGATTTAGATTAGATAGGAGGAGCAACACCCTTTTCTGTGGGGGTGGTGAGGCACTGGACAGGTAACACAGAGAAGCTGTGGATGCCCCATCCCTGGAAGTATTCAAGACTTGGATGGAGGAGCCTTTAAGTGACGTAGTCTGGTTGAAGGTGTTCCTGCTCATGGCAGGGGTGTTGGAACTTGGTGATGTTTGAGGTCCCTTCCACACCAAGACATTCTATGATTTTATGGTTTGGTTTTGAATTTAGGTTGTTTTCACAAATTCTCATTGATCTTAAACTCTCCAAGATCTTACAACTGTGTGTTTGTGACCACATTTCACAAAAAGGAGACTTATCTTTACTGAGGAAAGTTTCTCATTTTTCTGAAAGAAAAGCAAGTGCTTATGTTCTGAGTGGAGTTGCAGAGAGAGCACTAGAAGACAAGGATGAGGACCCTAAATACTAAAAACAATTTCATTTATCAGTAAATTAGTTTATAGTTTAGATGAGTCTGGTATCTAGAAGGCCATCATCCCAATTTCATCAAAATACGTATCCATAAAAGTCAGTTATTCAAAAATAAGAAAATAAGAGGATTTTGAACTATTGAGAATTTGAAGTATCTGATATCAGCTCCATAGGAATGAAACCTGTGAGCAAAATGGAAAAAAAAGAATTAGCATTTATCCTTGTGAGTGTTGGGTGGGAGTGGGATTGAATATCAATAGTGCGAGTTCTAAGATACAAAGGGAATTAAATATATTAAGTATGAGTACAAAACATAACAGCTAGAGCACCTCCAAAAGATAGTGATAATGTTTCATTCTGTTCTCAGTGGTATAAAATGGACTGGTTGTGAAAGGA